GTAGGAAGAACAGTAAACTAGAGAGACAGATGAGTTATAAGGCATAAGGGAAACATTATTTTAACCTCTCTGGGCATTATTTCAAAAACATTAAAAATCTTCAGAGCTTTCCAGTGTAGCATTTAAGGAGCAGGAAATTTGACTCGGTAGCAGTAAACATATTTCCTTTTAAAACTAACTGTATACTGTTGTAGCCCAAGTCTATGCAGGAGCACACTGAGAGTCCTTTTGGAGAATACCTGTGAGGATTTTACTGGATTAGAGATTTGAGAATAAAAAGATTATTTTTAATGTGATACTGAAGAGGGTTTTGTAACTGAGACTTAGAAGATACCAGAACAAAGCCCACTTGCAAGCAAGCATTCATAATACCAATATAATTAGTAGGAGAAGAAATGTCACAAAAAGTTTAGCAAAGTAAATGTCCTCACTCAAACTACCAGCCAGGAACAAAAAAAACACATTCAACTGTTTTGTAATCTAGTTTGCTCAAGCTCCGGCCTGCCTACCGAGATGGGAGTAACTTATATATGAACAGATTATTAGGGAAAGGCTTGAAAGGATCAACTTCAAGGTATAGCAGATCGTGTTGATCATATATTCCTCTGAGTCAACGCTGACCCAATAATAACATCTAAGCTTCCTCATAGTGTGATTGCGACCTTCCGAGCACAGCACCCAGGGCAAATGGACGCAAAAATTCCCCACCAGAAGGGAGAATTAATCACCCTCCAGTTTGGGTTGACGTCTGGTTGTAGACATCTCAATGTGGCATGGTCTGAGGAACACGCTCCCTTTCCCAGGAGCTGACAACTTACAGTTTTAGGCCAGAAGGGGACATTGATATTCTCTGCTTCCCCTGGTGCATGATGCATCCGCTCAGCTCAGTTTGCTCTGGGGACTGTGTTAAGTGTGTTGACTAAATCTCTATTAATTATAACATGAGTTTACACATGTCTAGCTGACAAGTAAATACTTGCTTGTATGTACCTATTTAGGTGTCTGAATCTAGAGCTGAATCTCTCCCCTGAAATGTTTGGGTAATTAAGGAAAGATATCTCCTAAGATTTTTCTTTCCCTGTTTTTATGAAACACACTTGTGACTGCAGGCTGGTTGAAGACCCTGCTTTCAGTTCAGCCACTGAAATCAGGTTCGGTGAAATAGGTGCCTTGAAGCAGACCAGATAGCATCTCTCAAAAGTCGCTTCTCTACTGTGTCACCAGTGACTGTCCGAAAAGCCTTTGCTCAGGTGGTAGCAGTGCCCTGGCTCCTGCAGAATCACCCCGGCCATGCACAGCACCACAGGAGTATCCAGCAGCATCACTGCTCATCAAGGAGTTTATGGACCACCTCTGCTGGTGCAAAACCTGAGCAGCTCCCTTCATCCAACAGGAACTATGCTGAGGTTCACGTCACCTGAAAAACTGGTCCTGAAGGCGTTCAAAAACTTCCCCAGCATTTTAAACAATGAATTCGTTAGATTTTTGCATAATGGTGTCCATTTTCAAGGAGCTGAGGCATGGTCTCCCATGTTTATGAGTTGATAACTCCTAATTTTAGGCCAGAAGGGGCATTAATATTCTCTGCTTCACCCTGGCATGTGATGGAGGTTGTAGAGTAGTCGTAAGTGATTCCCAGCAAAGACCTGAGAAATATTTCTACTTGTCCAGCCAGTGCCTGCAGCAGAGTAGCGAGAAGAAAACATCCTTGGAGTTACAGGTGCAAACCGCAACTCCAGGGACCCAAGGTTGTTGTCTGCTGAATTTGGCAATGTGCCCTCCGCAGGTATTCTGCTGTTTTACTCAAAACCGGTAACATCAGTAGGTGCAGTAGGTATTTTGTAGCTGTATAAGGAACAATGGAAAGACGAGAGAATGGAGAGCAAATAACAGACGATAAGGAGTTTGAAATGCTTTACGGTGCTTATTTCAGTCTTAAATGAAAAGGATAATAGTAACAGGATATTTAGTACAATCATAGCTAACGGAGCTAGGAAGCCTTCATAAGGGAGAATCCAAAAGAAAAAGGCTGCTGATTGCCTAAATCACTTGAATATTCTTAAATCAGCAAGGCTAAATGAAATTCACCCTTGACTATAGTGTTTAAAAGAGCTGGTGCAAAAAGCCGTTGGTTTATAAAAGCCTCTCCTGTCCTCTAGAGACGCTGCGATGGTACGTACTCTTCAAATCCCTTGGTGAAAAACACTGCGATTACATGTACCGTTAATGCCATCAGCGACGAGCCCGAGTCACGACTGTGCACAGTCGTGCACACACACACACACACAGCCGGCTTTTTCTAGCTGTTTGAGCAAAAGGAAGAATAAGAGTGAAAAGTGACATTGGTTTTGATATGCGACATTAACTTTCAAGCTGATGAAAGGGAGCAACATGTTCTAATTACTATTCCCCTTCAAAAAAAAGCCATGAGCTCAGACAAAAGAGGAGAGAAAGGGGGGGGTGGAAATCCAGGAAAGAAACAGAATCACATTTTCTCACTTATCTAATTAAAGCAAGGTGGGCGAGCGAGAGGGAGAGCTCGCCGTGCTCAGGCAGCAGCGCTGCCCTGTTTATTCTGCGAAAGGTGGGAGATGGAGGCGGTCGCTCTGCCGGGCCCGTGGGAATTGTCTGTCCCTGCTGGAGGGGAGCTTTCTTCCCCATGCAAATTCACACTTGACTTCAGGACATCCTGGTGCCTGTTGAACCCCATGTCCTAATCGAGTGGCACAACTGTTTGCGCCTGTGTTTTGCCTTGTTCATGGTATGGATGCTTCCAGCGCAGACCTGCCTCGGGAGCATCAGGGGCAGCTCTGGCATGTCCCACCGCACCGAGGGAAGGTGCTGGCTCCGCTATAGACTCCGCATATTTTACAACTTTATTTAAACTACCCTTTAGCAACTTGTTCTGCTTCCTGAGCAGCCTGTAGTGGGGATTAACCTCCCCCCTGAGGGTTGTCTGGCTCGTCCCCCGTATACTTGCTGTCTGCATTATTCCCATGTCCCGATGCCACGTTTCGTCTTGGCTCCCGTGTAAGGTTAAACGCCCCCAACCTTCTTAAAAAAAGCACTTCCTGAAATCAGCTTTGCCACCCACTGCCATATGTCCACTGCTCCCTCTCCTACAAGGTACCGTTTAATGACATTAACATGTCTGCAGCCAAGTGCCTGACATTTGTGACTCCAGGGAAGGGGAGCAGCCGTTTTACCTCCTAGAAAGCGCCTTAGAAATGGATTTCAGCAAGGCAAAAGAGAGGAGTGTCTTCTTTTCTGGTTTGGAGGCTGATGAAGTGATCTCAAGCCCTACTCAGCCCTGTGCCACGCCGGAGGTAATAGCAAAGAGCCATGGACTTGCTGCTCACGTGGTTGGTTTTTTTTCAGAAGAGGAGCGCTGTCATTTTTCCATCTGTTTTGCATCACCCAAACAACTTCTGTATCCCCAAACAACTGCAGGGTGGCCAGGCCTCAACTCTTCAGGCTGTACCTAAAATTGCCAGCCCTGGTGTCGAGAGGGGCTGGTGAGCAGGGGGCTGGGAGTCAGCCTGAAACCCTGGTCATCTCCCTGCTACCATGGCCCCACAGCTGAACCCATGGGGTTCAGCTCCGCACGGGTAGTTACATCCTCCCTTTGACAGAGTTTGCACCAGGCTGACATGGCTCTCCAGCAGGAAAGCGGTGGGAATTCCTGCTGCAAGGAGAAATCCTCTGTTTTCCTCCCAAATGAAGTCTGCTTCTTCAATTTGGGTGGGGAAAGGGGAAGCCCTGGAAGCAGTCCCGGGTGTCGGTGCATCCTCACCTACCTGGCCAGCCCATTAGCTGGCCTCCCATCTCACTGTGCCCCTGCCCCATTCCCATCCCTGCTCCTGCTGTGACTTGGCTCTCACGTGCTGCAGGGACAGGCACGCTGCTGAAAAAGAAAGCGAGAGCCAAGTAGCTTCTGGAAGACCGGAGGCATCTGCAGGCCAGCAGGTGCTGCTGGCGCCCAGCATTTCTCAGGACCAGTCGCACGGACCTCAGGAATATTTATTTGCATCCTGGCCTCAATCCCAGTTGGGATCTTTGGATGCTGCCACTGTATGAATATTTATTACAACAGATTATTATTATCTTTTCTTGCTGCACACCCTTAGTTTGCATCCTGTTTGTGTGCATTTCTTCTCAAGAACCACATTTTCCTATTACTCTGCTTTTCACTGTACTCTTGTGCTGTGTTGTGATATAACCAATTATAAAAAGAATAATCTGGGGATGGACTCTTGGTTTTTTCGATTGCAGTTTTCTCTCATGGGGTTTTGTTCTCCTTTAAGCCGTGTTCGGTGACAGACAGCTTCATTTGCTCAGATGTCCTTTGCCCTCCGAGGTTTAATGTATTTATTTAGAAGATGAAACCTACTGTCAGTATTTGTATAGCACCCTCTGGAGTCTGACTTCCCCAAAATCTAGAAGTACTTGATTTGTTTCACCAACAAATAAACCCTATTAATTAAAAGATTTTTAGCAAATTGGCTGATATTATTCAGTCTCTGCCATAGCAGTTGTTGAAATCCACCCTATTTACTGGCTTTTGTTTCACATTTATAGTGCCAGAAAAGACTTGTTTGGGTTTTTTTTTTACAGTGCAACAACCACGCTCACATTTCAAGGTTAATTCAGAAAACTTGAAAGCTTACTCCATGTCTCCAGTGCACAAGGTGTTATATTCAGCCTGAGTTCAGAATGAGCTTTTATTTCAAAAATTCCTCCATAGAGTGCTATATAACAAGAGTTGCCACCTTTTGAAGATTATTTTCAGTCCCTTGGGACCAAAACCAGCCTGGGTCGGGGAGCACTGAGGGCTGCGTTGTCGCTGTCCCATCCGATCGCTATGTATGCAGCATCCATGACAAGTGTCTTTCCAGGTTGGGTGACAGGGGATGGTTTGCAGGGAAGGAGGCTAAGATGCCGAGCGGCTGAACCCCGGCACACAGGCTGCATTGTGTTATTATTTTTCCCCACACACACAGTATGCTGCGGAGTTGCTGGCAGTGGTGCGCCTCCCCTTCATCCATCCCAGCTATCTGCTAAATGTTGTTGACAACGAGGAGTTGATAAAGTCTTCGGAGGCTTGCCGGGACCTAGTGAACGAAGCCAAACGTTATCACATGCTGCCGCACGCCCGACAAGAGATGCAGACGCCGAGGACCCGGCCCAGGCTCTCTGCAGGTAAGGCAAAACTTCCTTCAACAACACCAGCTCCCTGGTCCAGAAGTTCCCGGGCATGGCCAGGACATGCCCTGGGATGGGGCACGGACCTCGGCTCCTTCTCTTGGCTCCTTCCCTTGGTAACTTCTCAGAGCCTGGTGATATTTCAAGCTCAGTTTTCCATTCCTGTATTGCTCTAGTGTTTAGGAGCCTCTCCCGATGGTCAGACATGGGCGTGGAGATGTACACTTCTGAAACTAGATTTTAAGGAGCCTAATTTTTAAGAACTACTAGTTTTGGCAGAGAGCGTGACATTCCCCCGTTGTCCCGAAAGTGAGCCCCTTGCCCTCCGTGCCTCAGTTTCTCTAGCTGCAAAAATAGGTGAATAATAAGACTTGCTTTTTGCCATTTGGCCTCTTGCAGGGAGCAGCTGATTAATATTCATAAAACAGCTTCACTTTCGCAGCCCTATGTAAATATATTCTTTTCATACAGTGAGTCTTACAGTACCAGTTCAGGCTGTTTGCAGCCTCCAAAACAAATGGATCACACATGCTATATTCCCTTTTAAAAACCCAGCAGCTGTGGAGAACTGTGCCACTTCAAGACGTTTCTCACCTGAGGAACGCACGCATTTTCCTATTTGGAAAAATACATGAAAAACACCCAAGTGCCCAACTCACCAGCAGAGCCCGTATCATGGTAGTGTGAGAAAGATCCTAAATATTTGTTGAACAGAGAGTGGTACAAATATCATGTAGGAGCACCGCATCCAAGAAGGAGTCAGATGAAACAGGTGAATTTTTTTAACATGCTGCCTGTACTTCTGCCTCCCGTAAGTACAATCACAAAGCCAGGCAAAACTTCCTGTCGCTGCCACTAATGCTAATGTGGCACGGAGATGGCATATCAAACCACGGCATTTGCAGCTTCTGGAGACTGCCTCATCAAGGCACCTTTCAGAAGGATGAAGTGTAGAGGACTTTCAATAACAATCTACCCTAAAATTCTTTCATTGAAGACAACTAATGGTGTGATGTTTGAAGGGATTTTTGAAAAGTGCTTATTTTATGTATCTAAAATTGTAGGTGTAATATGATCTGTTTCCAGAAGCTTGTTGAGGGTGATTATAGTTTTTTAGGTCAGAGTCTAATTATATAGAATCATGTTAATTTGCATATCAATGGCATTCATGTAGGCACAAAGGATCTCTAAACACCCTTTGTGGACTCGCTGCAGCATGTCACATGCCCTCTCGAGGTCATTGATTCTAATCAAGTTATGTCTTGCACAGGTGATTAGATTTTCTGGTATGGCACAAAAATAATGATCTCTTGTTACTGAGAAATATTTATTTAAAACTGTACAGCACTTTAACTTAATAACTTTTAAGAGAGTAACCTTGCTTGAATGACACAAATATATTTTTTGAAAACGCTAATGAAGAATGATGATAATCCATTACGCTGAAGACGTGTTTCTCTCCGCTGCAGCTCCTAATCTCTCTTGCTGGCAATCTCACTTCTGTGCTTCTGACCCCCCCGTCTATGCACACTTGTCTCTAGGCTGGGCACCGTAACACATTACAGCAATGAGTCTGGCCACGAGCACAGCTCCTGAAATGGCAATTCCTTCCACCTTGTGTCCTCACGGTCCTGCTTCTGAGCCTACCTCTCCTGGCAACAAGTTGCACTTGGGCTTACAATTGCTGCAGAAAGATTTTTAACACTTCTGCTAAATGCTAAATCCAAACTATCCCCAGCACTTGACTCTTGGGGTTGGAGCCAAAAAACATCCCAGAGTTAAACTGCAACCCATCACTGCGGAGATGAGTCTGGGGTAACAAACACTCAGATCAGATTTGACTCAGCTCTGGCTGTAAAGTGGGAATAAAAACTCTGAGATGTGGATTGCAAAAGTTTTGTCCATTTCCACGAACAGAGAATTTGGCTTTCTGTACGCTCTGTGTGTTATGGGCTTGGGGGAGCTGTTCGAGCACAGATAAATCTCAGTTAATAACTATATTAGGGCAGGGGCTATCTCCGTCACGTTTCCTAGCACCTAGTACACGAAGACCCTGATCCATGGCTTGAGCATGTTATCCACATCTGGGGAAACCTGCTTTCTCTGGGACAAGCACAAAAAAAACCCAGCAGAAAATGGTCTGTTAATAGAGTGTATGGAGGATGAAGAACCATATCCATAGCCTAAATCTCCTCCAGATAATTAGCTTTTAGTGCAAGAACACCTTCTTCAGCTTAAAGTCCAAACATGCTTTCCCTGGATAATGGTCAAGCTCCAAAGCTATCATAATCCGTGACAAAATTCCCATTTTCTTCAGTTGAACAGGGATTTGGTACATGCAGGTCTCACCCAAAGACTGTTGAAGTCAACGGGCATCTTTACATGGAAAGGCCTTTTTATTTTTCCCCCTCAAATTTTGCCGAGATGGCATGCTCCCTCCCAAGTTCTCTCAAGCATGTTCATAGTGTCGTTCCTCACCCACTGCTCCTCCCCCCCTCGCACTCCCTTTTTTCTCACCCTTCCTGGTTTGACTGCACAGTCTAAAATAGATTTATATATGATACATTAAAATTACTCTGACTGCTGAGTATTTTTTGATAGGCTCCTGCCTGGTTGAGAGATGTCACTTTCTTACAATTTTTTTTTCTTACTTGAATCCTAGGTGTAGCCGAGGTAATAGTCTTAGTTGGGGGTCGTCAGATGATTGGCATGAATCAACGCGCTTTAACAGCGGTCACTTGCTTAAATCCTCAAAACAACAAGTGGTACCCGTTGGCCAGCCTGCCCTTCTATGATCGAGAGTTTTTCAGCGTGGTCAGTGCTGGGGACAACATCTATCTCTCAGGTAAGCAGCAGATTTCATAGAATCATAGAATCACAGAATGGTTTGGGTTGGAAGGGACCTCTAAAGATCATCTAGTCCAACCCCCCTGCCCTGGGCAGGGACATCTTCAACTAGATCAGGTTGCTCAGAGCCCCGTCCAACCTGACATTGAATACTTCCAGGGATGGGGCATCCACAACCTCTCTGGGCAACCTGTGCCAGTGTCTCACCACCTTCATCATAAAAAATGTCTTCCTTGTGTCCAATCTAAATCTACCCTCTTTCAGTTTAAAACTGTTACCTCTGGCCCTTTCACTACAGGCCCTGGTAAAAATCTTCTCTCCATCTTTCTTATAAGCCCCCTTTATATATTGAAAGGCCGCAATAAGGTCTTCCTGAAGCCGCCTTTTCTCCAGGCTGAACAACCCCACCTCTCTCAGCCTGTCCTCATTGGAGAGGTGTTCCAGCCCTCTGATCATTTTCGTGGCCCTCTTCTGGACCCGCTACAACAGGTCCATGTCGTTCTTGTGCTGGCCACCCCAGAGCTGGACGCAGGACTGCAGGTGGGGTCTCACCAGAGCAGAGTAGAGGGGCAGAATCCCCTCCCTCGACCTGCTGGCCACGCTGCTTTGGATGCAGCCCAGGATACGATTGGCCTTCTGGGCTGCGAGCGCACATTGCCAGCTCATGTCAAATTTTTCATCCATCAGTATCCCCCAGTACTTCTTGGCAGGGCTGCCCTCAATCCATTCATCCCCCAGATTTACTGGGCTGGGAGAAAAGTTTCCTCCTTACAACGTAGGCAGCGCAAACAAAGAAGGACATGCGGGAGTTCTACCAAGCTGTTCCTGGGGGAAAAAAAAAAGTGGGAAGGAGGTTGGGAGAGAGGGATTTCCCTGCTTTTATCATTCTCCGTTTCTCTGCGGCATTAACATTCTCTCATAGCAGTCAACAGCAATATTTTGTAGTTGCAACGTGAAGAAAATAGGTCTGACAACCATCAAGCATGCAAAGAGGTTTCACTGCCATAGAAACACAATATAAAATACTGGCTGTAGTTGAGTCTAAATGGTGGGTTATGGAATTTGAGACAGACAGGCTGAACTGCTGAATATGTGACCTACACTTAGAGTATTTGCTTACAGGAGCATTCACGTTTTGTACTTGTTGTTGAGACCTCTCTTTTGACAGTAGTCACTAGCCCTATAATCTTCTTAGTTTTGATGAAACTGAGACCATGCTCCTTAAAAGGCTTTAACTCCCAAAGTAGCTGTCTACACTGCGCCCGCAGCATCACAGTGTCTGGTTTTTTGCAGTCTGGTGGTACCTCTGCTTGGCTGGAGGGGGAAAAGCAATTCCCACCAGGCCATGCAAGGATGCTCTGATGGCAGCTGAGTGGAGGTTTGATGATAAAAAGAGGAGCCTGGGCAGGGAGGTGTGGATGTGTGCGATCTGAGGATGTAGTTGGGAGTGCAGTACCAGTAAAGGATTACAGCTGTTGCCTTTCCCTTGCCAAGTTCCCTCACTGCATTTTCTACAGTAAATTGCTGCCTGTGGTGTTAAATTCCATTAATACTGCATAGAGGCCCTAAGGATTGATTGGAAATTATTTCTTGACGTGTTTTTGCCCATGCTCGTTTTGCTGCTGGAGCGAAAGCTTTCCATGGAGGCTTTTGTGAGATGTTGACTTTTAGTTATTCTTAGCTGAGCTACTTTCCAATATGTAGAGCCATTTTAGGCTGTGCCATACCTGCTAACAAAAGCCGCTGAATCCTAAATTCAAAGCTTATTTCAGCTTTTTCCCTTGAATCTGGATGAGCAACCTGATGGTATTCAGTGGTACAGTAGGAGAGCTGAAAGTCCCGCATGGGTGGAAACCTAGCTGATACCGGTGGATATTTTGCTTTGCTCAAACTTACAAGACACAGGAAAGAGGGAAGGGGAACCAATGGAAGTGGGAGTGAACTCCTGCAAGCTCCAAGTGCTGGACCCCACACTGCATAGCATAGGTTTGGAGAGCAAAATAGCGAGGAGGAAACCTGGGTTTCTCATTAAACCACAGAACTGAGTCTAGTTTCTTTTCCTGGCTCGACCACTGACTCCTAGTGTGGTCTCAAATAAATCATTTCACCTCTTTATGCTTCAAAATGGGGATAGTAAGACACCCACTACGTGGCTCCTTGGAAGCTTCAGTCAGAAGTTAAAAAATGACCAATATAAATATTTCACTGGAGCATCTTGAACTGTTTTACAGGAGTGGTACAGCTGGTTCTTTCCTTTATTAGCAATGAAAATAAATAAGAAATTTGTCCCTGAAAATTAGACATTAAGCCTACAGTGCAAGCACTGACTTCATTCTGCCCATGTATGTGTTGCTTCAATCCATCACTGTATTAAGCATTTTAGATATCAGACTGGCCTGTGTCTCGCAAGCCAAGATAGGCTCTGCCTCCTGACACCTTCTTGCAAGCGTTGCAGTAATTTAATAGACTGGAAGTTATTTATGAACACTGAACAGGGTCTATTCCCTTATGTACATGTCCCTCGTAGTCTGACATCTTGATTTCTTCATGTCATCTTATTAAAAAAAAAACAGCCTTTGGGGCGCATGAATAAATGACACAGATATGCATCATCGGAACAGATGCTCAGTATTGAGGGTGATTTATTTTAATTAGTCAAATGTCATTTGAAGAGTTTTTACTTTGTAACTGGCTTTGATTGCTGTGTGCAAAGCTGCTGCCGTTCCAGGATCTCATGTAATTCTCCCCTTTTCTCTCCCTCACTCGCACGTCGGTGCCAGGCGGCATGGAGTCGGGTGTCACGCTCGCTGATGTCTGGTGTTACATGTCCTTGCTCGATAACTGGAACCTCGTGTCCCGCATGACAGTCCCAAGGTGTCGACATAACAGTCTGGTGTACGATGGGAAAATTTATACCATTGGAGGGGTCGGTGTGGCAGGCAACGTTGACCATGTGGAAAGGTAAAAAAAAAAAACCAAAACCATGCTGTTTGCTGGAGCTTTTTCTTCATGCTATGCTAAAGGATCATTTCCCTTTTAAAGGACACAACGAATGGGCTGTATGTGTTACAATAAGCTTTTATAACAGCTGAGAAAGGAGGAAACTATGCAGGATGAGATTTCTTTTTAAAGCTTCAGTGGAAAGCATTGTTTCAAAACCAGAGACGAAAGCTGCCAGTTTGTTTGTCAGTTTGCTCGGAGGAGGGTAGGGAGGAATTAAGTTTCTGTGGACACTTTACAGATTATGCAACGAACTAATAAACTTCCTTTGAATTCAATACTGATGAAAGTCTCTACAGACCACAATAATCCTTTTTTTTTTTTTTTAAACCCAAAAAAAGCAACAGCAAAGTAAGTTTCTCACATGTACTCTCCTGGTAAAGCACCTCAGCCTTGACCTGGCTGGAAGGAAGATCCTCCCTTTGGTGCTCTTGGCCCGGGGCTGGGACCTGCCAAGCTCCGAGTGAAACAACCAATAAATGGAAACAGTTTTGAATTCCTGGCCGAGAGGGGCTGAATAGAGATGGGAGAGAATGGAAATTTCTCTTCTCAAGAAGAGTCCAGATATAAACATTTTCCTTTTCTCACATGGAACTTAAAAAAAAAAGGAAGGAACAAAAGCACAAAAGAAACATTTCACAAAGTAGAATTCCAAAACCAACTAATTTTATGTGAACCATATCATTCAATAAAACCATAATTTTTTTATGCATATCAATGTTTTCATTAAAAAATAGAAATGCAGTATATAAGAATATTCCATTCCAAAAAGATCAGTACAGCCCTAGCCTTACCCAAACACTTAAAAATGCATTGTGGCAATAGATTAATGATACATTTCTGTGAAATGTTTTTCCTTAGTGAATCTGGCAACCAAAAACAGGAGGTTTTTTTTCTTTTTGTCAGTTTTAAGTGCTGAATTTGAATACTTCTTCAGCAACGTTTTGAAGCAGGCATTTCCCAGTAAAAGCTGCCTTAACAGGCGAGCCAAAAAGGGATAGGTCATTAAGAAAGATTTGCAAAAAAAAAAAAAAAAAAACAATTTTTCCAAAGTTAGGATTATTACACGTCCTCAAAACAGATGTAAAGAGAGTTAATTTAAGAGCTTTCCACTATAGTAAAGTTAATTGTCAAAAAAAAAACCAACAAAAAACCACAACAAAATCTATCAGGGCTAAGAGTGAAGACTTCCTGCTACAGGATGTCTTATTCACGCTCATTTTAGTGTCTCCGTCATCAATGTTCCCAACCTAAAACAGCCTGCTAAAGTGCATAGCAAAATGCCTCCTAACCATCTGATTCCCCTCAATTAGCCCACAGACATTTTCTACATGTCTTCTTCTGTCGATGACTTAGACAACATCCCTTCAACAAACCTTAGCACCATTTAAAAAAAAAAAATTGCAGGCTGCATTGACCATTTCTCAGCCACATAAAACCACCTCATCTCGCCAGAAGTAGAGGAATTAAAAAAGGTTTGAAAAAAAAAAAAAAAAAAAGACATTTTTTCAAAAGGTTAGGATTAAAGATGCTTTCAATCTATTATTTCTGGATTTTGGTGCTGCAACATTTATGTCCCATTTATGCAGGGGGTGTTTATTTTTTCATTTAAGTAGATACTGTAAATACCGAATACCAAAACCTGTATTAAAAGTTTATTAATGTTTCAAAGTCAAACACACAGGAAATTAGGAAAAGCCAAAAATACAGTTTCCTTCTGCAGATCTACTTTTTGGTACAATCGTTAATCGTGCGATGACTTTTTTTTCCCCAAAGGATTTCTGCCTAGTTCAGTGCATGGGACAGACCAGTTGTCTGTATGCATGGCCAGGGAGATCCTATCTGGTGCTGCGTGATCACCATTCACATATGGCCCTAGTTTTGTGTTCCTCTGTCTTCACAAATTTGGCACTATTTTGCCTAGGAGGCAAGGATGTTACAAAACAGCCCCTGGAAAGGACGTGTGCTGTGGGACAAGGTCTGCAGGTAGTCTTCCCTCTCAACCCAGGCACGGGCTGAAGAGCTGACATTGGTGATGATGCTCTCAGCAAGTCAGGGGAAGGCAGGCAGCGAAGAATGAATGATAAATAATAGTAGTGAACGCAACACGTCAGCGTTGCTTCCCTCCTTACACTGAGCTTAAGGTGGGCACTGCCCTCGGGACTTGCTTTGAAGAAAATCTCACCATTTTATGCAGATTTTTTTTCTGATTTCTGAAGGTATTTGTCCTGTAATTTAAGTCAGTAGTTTTTTCGCTAACAGAAATGTTTTTGTGAACATGGAGCCCAGGAAAGAGATGCAGTCTTTCATTCCATCTCTCAATAAAGAGGAACATCAAAATAATGCTATTGTGGATAGGTGTCTTGATAGATGTCACTGATTGAATGATCTCTTTTAATTTTTCCCAGAGTCTTATTTCTTTCTCTGCTCTGATTCTCATGGTCTCTCTTTAACAAGGCATCCAAAACATTGGTCAGTTGAATGAACCCCAAATCAAGCAAAGTCTCCCCCTCTCCTTCCTTCTCATCTCAGCCACCCAAGCCCTTGCCACCAATGACATTGCAGCCTGCAAAGTCACGCTCAGGCCCTCGGCGTGCCCTGCATGGCTCAGTGAGAGCAGCCATGCTGGTTTTCAGTTGTAACAAGCCCTCCAAGAGACTTTTATGTGGGAAAGGAGCAGATTTCCTCCCTATCATTTCAGTGCACGCTGTCTCAACCGCAATAAGGATGTCTTGTCATGGGGATTTGCTAAACCCGTGGTTATAATTAATCTGCTATTGTCTGTAAAGTGACTTGTGAGACGCAGCCATGGAAAAAGTGCAACATAGCCTCCTTTGGGTTATGCCAAGAAAAGAGAGAGGTTTTTGGATGTTTTCTTTTTTATCTGTTGTATTAAAATGACAGTGGGGGATGACAGAAGCAGAGCATGGCATAGCTGAAGCTGTGCGTTTTAGAAAGGATGTTCCAGGGGTCTGCTGCTAAAAATGCAGGTGAGAAAAAGCTGACCCTCGTAGCTGTACTGAGCAAAGTCAGGCCTTTTCAGACAAGTGCATTTCCCATTTGGACCAGGCAGCTAATTTGTGTGGGCGTTCAAGAATTTAAATAGTGGGGATCACTGTACCCACTTTAGCAAGCGATGAGGCTTTCTGGATTTGGGTTGCAAGTTTAAAAAAAAAAAACATACAAAGTAAAGCCACTTCAGTTGCTCAGTTTTCTGCAGTCGTATGTGCAGCTAATACTCACTTCTTGACTTTGCCCTCTTTTTCTTTTTTCCCCCCTCAAGAGCACAAGCGACCAGCCTTCTCCCACCGTATTTCTGTGTGGGCTGCACATTCCTCTTCAAATATTGTGTTGCTTTGGATGGGACATTGAGATACTGTCTCTCAGGAGATTGGAAACCTCTCTGTCATTCCAGCAGGTCTTACAAAAGCACGGTATTAAAATCATAATAAAGTTCATGATCATATGCTCCAAGTCAGGTGACGCCAAAAATTACATTTACCTCTGAGGTTAACATTGTTCCCCTCAGTGTTGAACTTCAGGGTCGCGCGTTCTTGGGTTTTGGTTTGTTTTTCACCCCAAAGAAGGCATCTGAGATTTTAGCCCTGTTACCCACCCAGATGGAGATAGGGGGCTCATCCAGGCCTGACACATGATGCAGTCCTGGACTGTGCCACCAGTGTGAAGGACAACAACGCACTGGACACCCTCCCTCGCTGGGCCACCTACCACCTCCCCTCGTGCACATGCAGCTTATCTTTCCCAACCACATTTTGCTTTCTGCTTGCTCAGTTAGCTCAAGCGTGACCATGCCCAGCTTTGGCCAGGTTTCGATGCGTATTCGCTGGCGTGGTGGAGGGCACGTCTCCAGTCCAAAGTGACCTACCCTGACCTCACCAGTTAGTAGCCCCAGAGCACGGAGACTGTAGGGTGTCACCACAGAGGGTCTTTGAAGATGGAGAAAATAACATTTTCTTCCAGTTTCCTTCTTGTTCTCCACCTGGTTTTCCTGGAATTCTTGGAATATTTCATCCTAAATAGTTAAAACCTTACAAAGATGGTTTTATTGCATTTTGTTTTTTAAAAACAGATGTCAGACCATCTTAGCTATACATGCTACCACCTGACTACACCTAATACATCTGCTGCACCATTAGAAAGCATTAAAGCAAGTAGGGACCACCGGACTCCTAAAGATCTATGGCATCAGCTCCTGTGCTTCTCTCTCCGTGCTTTCGATTGTGTTACTGATGCAGAAGGGTGCAGCCTCAACCAGAAGTTCTGGTGCCACTTAAATCAGTGGGTGTTTTCCCATCAACTTCAATAGGGCTGAGATTTTTTACCCTTTATCTGCCATTTGTCTGTAAAGAGGCAGTAAAAATTCCGGCTCAATGGATAATATTACAGGACTATCACAAACAGACGGGTAGGAGTCATTCGTTACTTATCTTAAAACAATATGCATGTGCCAGAGGGTCTGAGTTATAAGTCCATTTTTGCGGCTGTACATGGGTATATGTTCAGGGAGAGTTATGTTTTTGGAATGAGTGTTTAGGGAAATAACGGCATGACTGCAGTTCTCCATCAAGCCCCTCTGGCAAGTTTCTGTGTGACAGGGAGCGAGTCATTAGGTGTTAGGCGAGAGGGTATTTCACTTTCTGTCTTCTTCTGAGATATGAGTTGAGTTGGGAGGCAGCGAAATGAAGTGGATCCACAAACTAGGTTTTTAGATAATGGATGGGCCCTGTAATATATGCAATTTGAGAGCCAAGAAGACTGCGTATGCTGACAAGACAAGGTATGTGACTAAAAGTGTGGAAATGTGGGTGCTTTGTGGTTATTATCTGTTTGAAGGATAGAAGAAGATGAATCCTCTTGACCTGACAGCACTTTTACAATAGGGTTGTCTAAAATTGGGATATTACTTCAGCTGGCAGTGTGTACTTGGAAGACAGTCTAAAAAATTCAGTGTAAAGAATAAGCTTTATAAGCTTTAGAAACTGCTTCAGAACCTACTGTTTTATTGACATCTTAAGAAAATTAAATATATAGCCTTGTCCAAGGATAGTTTCTTAAGCTCCTCAGAACAGTCAGAAGAAAATAAAAAAGGCAAAAGATAGTAATCCATTAATGTGATTTTAAACAACATGTGAATCATCTGAAGAGCAGATCAATATGACACTGTACAGCTTTATTTTAAATAGCAGCTTCCCTGCAAACAGAATTAAATAATGTGTAAGAAACTGGAGGGTGCATGGCTGTAAGCGACTGACCGTGATGTAAGGATTTTATAATGTGAATAAATGAAGATACTCATAAGGCTGTTTAACCTAGAAGGAGAGAAATTAAGAGACTGAGGAGAAAAAAAAAAATACTGTTTCCAGGTACTAAAGAGGTCAAAAGTCAAGAAGGCAGAGAAGCAAATGGCACAGCTTGAAATGAAGGGTTTTCTGCTGTTAATACTGAGGTGGTAGGGAAAGAGCAAGAAAGGAGGCGTTGAATGAAATGAGTGAAACAGGAGGAGGATCAGGCCCACAGGTTAAATCCTAAGAGTGGAGAGTTGTGAAAACTAGCAAAGTTATTTCTGCGTCTGCTCTCTTCAAGCCTAGTCTGTATTTTCTGCTGGGTTCAGATCATTTGCTGTATCACGGGTATATAAATAATACATAAACCAGAGGATAGTGACTGCACAAGGGTCAGGTGAGACGACAGTGCTCAGTGCACATGAAGTGACAGGCAGGGACACGCACGTCCTGCACACATGGAAATCCTGATGTCTGGAGCACGGCAGGGCCACGGACCACGGGGTTGCAGGGACCGCTCTGGGGGCAGAGGACGGCATGCAAGGGCATCCGTGTGAAACCACACGTGAGTCCGTAGCATGCAAGGACTGCAAAACCAGGCATCAGTCATGTGAAAGGAGATGTCCTTGAAGTTTCAAGTTCAGTAAATTGAATGGGCTTGGTAGGCCCATAGCCAAGGACAGGCGAGGACATACCGGGACTGGAGGGAGCAGTGGAGGAGAGGGAAGAAAAACCTTTGCTTGGCTCGAAGCCAGCTCCCGTTAAGTCTCCATCTACGGCTTCAAACAGGGGAATCAAATGCAAAGCTTGACTAATGGAAAGAGATCAAAGTGATTATTCTTTAAATCAGTTCCCTCCCCGCTGGCCCTTGAGCAGAGCCGGTGTTAAAGGCAGCCGAGGAGCCCCACTAGTGCTAGTGGCGGTGGAGTGATGGCAACGCCGGAGATGACGAGACAGATGGAAAGGCCCTAGGGCAGAGGGGTAAAGCAGGTGTCATTATTTCCTGTCCTGGAGGGTTACAAAGATTCAACTTTATTCATTTTTAAACCAATTTAGTTAATCTGGTGCAAATCCTTGTGTGAACACATTAAGAGCTGACTTGAGATAGACCAAAATGATGGAAACCTGCCTTGCAGAGACTTAAGGAGCTTAGACTACTTAGTTTATCCCATAGAAGGTGAAGAGGTGACTTTATTATTTTCTGCAAGTCCATACATGAGAGAGAGAGATTTGATAGCAGACAGCTTTATAATCCAACAGGAAAAAAACCCTTACTTTCTTGTGGGTGGGAGCTGAAGCAAAACAGACTAGAAATCAGGTCTACAGTTTTGCAAAGAGGGAATGAACCAGAGGAGTAAATTCCCAGGGGATGGAGGGACTTGATAGACAGGTATCAGGAAGCCTTGAAGGCACCAATTTCTCTTGTTCAGCCCAGGGGTAAGTTAGGCACTTACTTAAGAGGATTGCTTCACTGAGCAGCCTATGTAAAACCCACATTAGATGCCTGTGTTAGGTGGACAAGGACTGGCTTCCACCTGCTTTATGGTTCACTGATTTTTTAAACCAAATGACCCTCAAGACAAGAGTGGGTTTTTAAGCTGCCCCACTTGCACCTATATCCAGTAGATTTGCAGCCTTTGACTTTCAGCAGATGAAGTGAAACTGGTCATTTTTGGTTTCCCGATGGCAGATGAAGGAGAGTGAGAAAGAAACATCAGTTCTGTCATCGCAGAGCATAAACAGAGAGCAGTGAAAGTGGGTGAAAAACTGGGTCTAGGGGAACGTGAGGTCCCAATAGTGAAATTCATCCAGAAGAAGGACGATTGTTTTTGTAATTTGAGCCTTTCTCCAGTATTCCTATAGATGTGGTCCTCAACCACACCCAGCCCCCAGCATATGTGAAGGATATAACCCCTCCTTCCCAAAAACAACTTAGGAGGATTGGAAAGTCGTTGGCAGGAACCTATGAGTCTTGGGAACTGTGGTCGCCCAGGTACTTCTGCCAGCGCCGGGGAAGGCAGCACGGCTGCTCACCATCCCATCTCAGACCACTTTGGCCACAAACGTTCCTGGTGCAAGGTCACAGTGGATGGTGTGAGACAATAAGTATGGGGTGACAGGTATAATGTATATCTTAGAAGCTGAGGAACTAGAAAGGCACATTGGGTCAGTTCTTCTCAGCTCTATGTCTTTACACAGTTTCTAGCCAATTACAACCGGTTTCTTAACCAGCTTTTATTATACAATAAGACATCAACAATTAAATTACCAAGCCCCAAATTACTACAGCTAGCAAAGTGTAACCCAAAAGCAGTGTATGAAACTTTATATCATGCAACATTTTTGCGGATCTGCTAGGATGGGCGTGAGTGCTGCCCCGAGTGCTGTGGGCAAACGCAGGAGCTGCAGCATATGGTGTCTCACGTGGAGGAGTTGCTTGTGCAGTCAAACATGCATCTGCAGGCTCGAGTTTGGTACCAAACGTTAAGAATCAGCCCAATATAGGTGTGTCACCTTGAATGCTCCCAGCACCATGTTGTTTAATCTTGTTATATTTCTCCCCTTTGATCACTTTGTTGTAGGTGAATTTAATTTCGCAGTAACTAATTTAGAGCATTGTACAAGGCAGTTCTCCACGCTCATTATAAGGGACTTTCCTCATCTTTTTGCCTCATTTTTATGAGTGTGTTAATTACTTTCAGTTATATTACTTGGAAACTCATTAATGCATTTCCATTAAGCACATTATTTTGTGCTGTTTCCACCATTTATATCTTTTGTCCCTTTTATTTTCCCCAAGTTTGGGCAGTGAGAATTTGAGGGACATGTTGCAAAGGGAGAATTCCCCTGTCGCTAAATCTTTTTTTACAGATGGGTTCATGGCCACGGATTCATTTCATGTTTGCATATTGCATATCACTAATATTAAGAGCAAAAGCCCTGAATGGGTGATGAGGGCTTCTGTTCTTGCAGTCAACAATTCTGAATAATCGCTGTGCAGGAAACTCCTATTTAACTGAATGTGCCATTACATGGAAGTGTAGAAGCCTAAAAAAAATCACATTATTTTCCATTGTCTCCAAGAGTCATTTTAGAGCAGCTATTTGGATCCCTGCCACATTATCTTTAAAAAAAATTGACGTCTGTACTTGTGACATTGTCTAAAATGAATCTTCATCCATGGATTATTAACTGCACATCCCTTATGGTCAATGACTCAATTAAATCAGATACTGATGACCTTAAAACTAATTTAGCACTTTCATGCATACTCTTTTCTGTTTGTTTCATGTCAAATATGGATGCAATGGTGAAATCTTATTCCAGCATTAACGCTTGCAGCTTCTTGCAATGAAGCACATGAGTTTGGTTTGCACAATTAAAATTAAATGGAAACAACTTATTCTGGCACTAAATGTGCGTCGCTGGTCAGTTAACTAGAGTAAAAAGAGCTATCGTGTTGCATTATGTTGCAGGTGAGATGTGTTCCACAAGCTGCACAACTGAAGTATATTAGCAGTTGCCTGCCTGCGGTTGCTATTGGATATCACTGCACTGATTTGCAAGAATAATCTCATTGTATACTCATTAATAGAAATTAATTAGTGGAAGACATCTCAACAAAGATGTCCAGAGTTTCTTTAGCTTGGACTATAATGAGATTTGAGAGGCATATACAGAAAATAGAACCAGCTTTCTCTGGGCTTTTCTCAATGTTTTAAAAGCCTAGAAAAAGCATTAATTACACTGTTTACCAAATGGCTGAATTTGTAGTATGTTAGAAAATACATTTCCACCTCTGTTTCTCTTCTGCTTGTCAAGCTGCCTTTCTGTTATATCCCAGCCTGCTTTCTCTGCCTGTCTATCCTGTCTTTACTGTTCACCTAGTGTCGCGTCATCTCAGCTCACTCCGATCGCTGTTGTCCTAGGTACGACACGATAACCAACCAGTGGGAGACCATCGCCCCTCTGCCAAAGGCCGTCCATTCGGCCGCTGCAACCGTTTGCGGTGGGAAGATCTACGTCTTCGGTGGAGTGAACGAAGCCGGCCGAGCTGCAGGGGTCTTGCAGTCCTACATCCCTCAGACTAATTCATGGAGTTTTATAGAGTCTCCAATGATCGGTAAGGGATGCATGGTGGCAAAGTAAACCCATATAACGACAGAAATCTCTGTGCTACAGGTATTTTAAGGCCTTTGTGGAAAGCAAATGAGTTGGGGGTGAGGGGATATATGTTTACAACAGATTGGCAGGAATGTATGGTATATTATACCAGAGAGGCAATTATCTGGATCTTTACTGAAGGCAATTGTCACTCATTAATACAGCTAGTTATCAGCTAGAAGTGATGAGTTCAAAGTAGAGGAGAAAGGAAATCAGTTATTAGGTACGGACAACTAGTAATTTTAGATCCAAAAAATCGCAAAGTGCAGTGAAACTTCATCCTGGCGTCATGTGTTGCTCCATGCAGTTTTACAACACTGCTCAGTATATTGATTATTACTCATGGGTTTGTTAAAATGCCTCCTGTCCTGTGGGAAGTGGCGGTCATTCTTAACTGGGATTTATTAGTGGTGTCCCAAGGCATATGTGCTTCAGAGGCTGAAATCTCCGAGACATGTAGGTTATTAAAACTGTGTTTATTAGTTTGTGATGCCCTCGAGCTCACCAAACATTTCACAGAATAAAGAGCAAGACGAGAAGCCAAACTTGCCACCATACCAGCCAATGTCAGAGGTGCAGACTTCCTTCCAAAATTAGGATAGCACTCAGAAGATTGCAATTTATTTGCTTTCTGTGGCGATTTGCACCCTGAGTGTTTAGGCTGCTTTTGGAAATGGGGTTTAGCATTCAGCTTCACGAGGATGTTACTGCAGGGTGATAGCCGACCTTGGCCACATGCTTTGCGCTGGGTGGCTGTGGGCAGCCTTCAGTCTGACTACTCGGGTGGCCAAAGAAACAGCGCTCATACAGTCATTGCAGAGAAGCTGCTTTGGGGTGGCTTGCTTTTGCATCCTAGAATCATAGAACGGTTTGTGTTGGAAGAGACCTTTAAAGATCATCTAGTCCAACCCCCCTGCCATGGGCA